TGTCAGGGGGACACATTCCCCAGAGGGGATGGGGGAGTGGGGAGGGGGTCCGGCCACCTCCCATCCAGGACCTGCCGCTTTTGGGGCTGTTTCCAACGTGCCACTGGAGGAGGGTTTGGCGGTTTGGCAGCATCGCTGTGGGATGTTCTTTGTTCCCGCCGTGATCCCCTGGGGGGGCTTGGTGGGGGCAAAGGGGCACTGTGGGATCAGCCAGGGGGGCAGCAGGTGACAGGGACACGGGGCTGAGCTCAGCGCCAGCGGCGTCACACGCTCCCAACCTGCCCCAAAAACGCCCAATTTGGGGAAAGAACAAGGCAGAATTCGGGGCTGGCGGGGGTCCAAGGCAGAGCAAACCCAGGACTGTGTGTCCCTGGGGATGCCTGGCCCCCCCAGCTGCCCTCCTGTCCCCAGGTGGGCGCGTGCTCGAGGTGGGCTTTGGCATGGCCATCGCCGCCTCCAAGGTGCAGGAGTTCGACATCCAGGAGCACTGGATCATCGAGTGCAACGAGGGCGTGTTCCGGCGCCTGGAGCAGTGGGCCAAGGCACAGCCACACAAGGTCAGCCCGGGGAGGGCTGTGCCAGGGCTGGGGGGTGCCTGTGCCCCCCTCACCTCAGCCCTCTGTCCCCCTGCCCGCAGGTGGTGCCCCTGAAGGGGCTGTGGGAGGACGTGGTGCCGACGCTGCCGGATGGGCACTTCAGTGGTGAGACATCCCCAGAGGGAGAGCGAGGGGCTGGGTGGGGTCCCCATGGCAGAAGGGGGTGCACAGCAAGGCAGGAGCCTGGGGCAGGGGGTGCTGGGACATCCCTGAACCGTGGAAAGGGGGGGAGCAGTTTGGCCAGGGTGGGGTGGGCACCCAGCCCCCTCCATCCCATGGGACCTGGGAGAGACACCGGGGGAGCAGCACGTCGGTGCCTTCCAGGCTCAGAGACACGGGGGGCAAACTGCAGTAGGAAAACCCAGAGCCAGGCTGTCAAGGGGGGCCTTCCCCTGGCACTGGAGCCCCCAGGGTCTGTCCCGGCTGACGGGCGGTCCCGGTGCCCCCCAGGGATCCTGTACGACACGTACCCGCTGTCAGAGGACACGTGGCACACGCACCAGTTCAACTTCATCAAGGTAAGGTGTGGGGAGCAGCTGGGGGGCAGGGGGAGCCTGGAGAGGTGCCGAGTTCCCTGGATTCCCACGGCAGGGTCACGCCTTCCGCCTGCTGCGGCCCGGGGGGGTCCTCACCTACTGCAACCTGACCTCGTGGGGGGAGCTGCTGAAGAGCAGGTACAGCGACATCGAGAGGATGTTTGAGGTGAGGCTGTCCCCGTGTCCCGCCGTGCCCCC